ACCCCCCCGGTGGGACTTAAAACACATTGATTTGTTGATTTCTCCTCTTTTGTTGCGTCGTGTCGAGTGCTAACAGGACATCCAAGGTCCAGACTACGGTGCCGGGACTTTTTCTAAGCCAGATTAAGGTCCTAATCTCAGCATCTGTCAAGGTCAAAGCAACCTTTTCCTTCATGGCTCTCAGGGACAGTTAGTAAAGGTATTAAATAATAACACAGTGATTGAGCAGCGAAAGAAGCAACATCTAACAGCATCCAAGATGGCAGTTTCTCTCTGCTTTATTTAACATCCTGGGCAGCAATTTAAAATTACACAAGACTTTGATAGAAAGAGAGTTATTTCCAGGAGAGGATTAATATCTACATGAAATCATTCCCTTCCTGATAAAAATGGTTGAACTTTGGTTATTAAAACATTTTCACATTTTACTAACATTCATCAAAGGTATTTTTTATTTTTTTTAAAGATGAGTCTGTTTTTGATCCCAAATTTTGACTGTAGATGTAAATTTAAACAATCTCATCATTTGGTGCCATTTTCAAGCAAGATTAAAGTTAAAAAATTTGCCATAAAAACAAAAAAATGTCGATTCAACAAGGAATTCAGTTGCTGAAAAGTTAAGTGATATTTTAAACATTTACTCATGAAAAAAAAAAAAAAAACCATCCAGTGGACTTTGTTTCCAAGTTTGAAGACGTTTCTCTTCCATCCAGGAAGATTTTTATTTCTAGTTATTTTCCAGTAACTTTATCTAAATGACCAACAGAAAGCAGCTTCTGATTTTTTATCTGAAGCAAATATGAATAATAGGGCATTTTTAATTCTTACCATTTTCTTTTTAACTATAAATATGTTTTTCATAAATCCACTGAATTGTTTCATTAATAAGCCTTAAAAAAAAACTATCTTTAAGCTTTTAGCTCCAAACTTCTTTATCCTGATCCTTTACATAAAATAACATTAATGCTGAGATCATTAAACCTTCAGCCTGTGTTCTATGGCCTTTATCGCCATCTAGTGGTGGAGGGAGATTTTGAGGAAGCAACAATTTGAATATTTTGTTGGAATTAAAGGAACAGCTCTAGACTGGTTTAAATCTGATCGAA